TATCAAAAGAGTTTATTGCAGAATTTGCTCAGTAATGGCCTTGTTTTGGCCTGCTGTATGATGGTCTTCCCTGTATCTGATTTCACATTTTCATGACATGATATTAGGTTAGATGACATGAGATAAGCAAAACTAAACAAGTAGAGAACAGTTTGTTCCACCATTTATCTCCATCATCTGTGAAAAGTTCACGTGTGCAATTAGTGTTCTACTGCACTTCGGAGATTGCAGTGGATCACCTGGAAATCACTCTAGAAGTTTACGTGATTCCCTGTTTCTATTATGGTTGATAACCTCACATTTTATCCGCATATCACACCAATTCCCTAGCAAATGTGAAACAGTGTCACTCCAACCAAGTGTGTGAATTTGTGCAAGTTTACACTGATTATACTTACACTTTTTAAGACCAGTTCTACTGCTCTAAACAATTCTACTCTACAACACATGAATGGAATAGATGTGCTCTTCTCATGCTCTTGACCTGTTCTGAAACTTAATGCTTAGGAGTACAAGATCACTGTTTGTTTTCATTTGGTTTCCTAACTATTCCAGAAATACTTTCCCTTGTCAGTTTATTATATGTAAATTTATTTTAGCTTTTGCAGAACATTTCTCAGACACCTGCTCTCTGCTGGAGTTACCTCATTTTCCTCCACTGTTTTATTGTGCTTTTATTAACTTTTGGAAAGTTGGCTACTGCTTTTTGTAGTGCTTGAAGTTGCCCAGTAGGGAAGCTGCTTATAAATAACATTATTGTATCTGAGCAGTGGTATACTCTCAGACCTGATTCCCAGATGCTGTCAGACCTTTGGTTGGATTGCTCTGCTAGACTTCCTTGAAAAGAGATAGCTGTCAGTTCTTAGTGAGAATGGCTGACGTTTGGGAAATGAAAGTAGATTATTCTCACATTAGTGTATTGTACTGAAGTGCAAACAATAGCCTTTTCTTTAACCAGCCAGTCCCACAGAGTAAGTAAAATTCATCATTTTACAAAGTGATGATCCCGCCTCAGACTCTCCTTACAGCTCATGTCACTACTGTAATTAATATTGTATTATTCTGTTGCTTGTTTTAGTGAATGTCATTTTCCATTTAAAGGAAACCCCGCAAGAAATAAATGCTGCTTAATCTGACCTGTTGCTGGAATAGAAGTTTAGAACTGATGCATGTACTTAGTTTGATTAAGCCTTGAGGTCTGAGAAGGAAAAAGAAAATAAAGGATACGTTAAGATAAGAAAGTTTGAAAAACAAGCCCTTGGACTTGCAGTGCCATTAGCAGAAGTCCGTGAAAAGTCTGTTTTCAATTTCAGCAGGGTGTTTCTTGTCTTCACAAACCTGTCTACACACTCTTACATCAACTTTGCAAATGGAAACCCATAGCATAGGGTTAGGGGAGAGCAAGGAATTTCCAAAGGTGACAGCTAACCTGCTGGATAGCTGAGAACTGAAAGTGTTAGAAAAGAGCAGATTATTAGGACATCCTTGCTGTTATCATTTCATCATGGTATCTTGTTTTTATTCAGGAGGCAGTGCAAGACTTGACCTTGGCGCTGAAGCTGGAGGCAGAAGTGGTGATCCCAGCAATCCTCTCCTTAAAGCACGAAGCCCAAGGGCTGATCATGCAATGGCTTCTTCAGCATGGCAGGACTGTGTTAAGTGAGCTTGTTGATACTAAAGAACTTGCAAAGGAAGAAACTCTTGAAGACCTTCTCATGATTGCAGGAGCTCTAATTAAAATTTGCAAGGATGCACAGTATCACCTCTTCTATATAGATGTTTTGATTGCAAGTGGTAAGCTCCCATCCTTTTATACAGTTGATCAGACTAAGAGAATGGGCACAATTATTGGTCTGGATACCTGTAAGTGTTTTTTACATCCTATCTGCAGCAATCATTCCAAGCTGCAGAGATAATGAGATTTCTAGGATTATAGACAGAAAATGTTACCTGGCAACAATACAATAAATGTATTGATATATTGCAGTTTTCAAGAGAAGTTTGTAAATGTTTTGGGAAAAGGCGTAACTCCTAGATGTTGACTGAACACTGAAGCTCCCTAAGTTCTGCTTTAGTAAGTTTTGTTGGTGTCTCTCTCCATGTGGAATGGGTTATATAGCTTATACTGCTGTTCACCAACAGGAAAGTATGAAGAGGCCCTAATTCACCTTCAGGAGGCACTTGGCCACTCTCTTGCTGGTGAGTTTGCCAATGCAAGACTAGCTGTGCTTCAGATGAAGACAAGGAACATGGCAGTGGCCGCTCACTCATTCAGCAGCCTAGCTGAGAAAGATGAAAGGGAGCTGAGGTTTCTCCTGAACTTCTTAGACCAGAAGCAACAGCAACATCTATCTCAGGTACAACCCTTTTTTTTATGCTGTGTCTGTGGATTCAGTGGGGAAAGAAACGGGAAACAAAACTAAGCTGTAAGGATGTTCCTTGCCTTGTCTTGAACAGAAGTTTGCAGGAATATCATTGCTCATCAGAATGAGGAACAAACAAACTTCTTCCTCCCACCTTGACTGCAGACAGTCAGTGTAGATAGTAGACTTGAATAGAGGCTTCTTCCATTACAGTGGCTTTGTTTCTATCTCTCATAATTCATCAATATCCACTTCTTACCACCTGGGAGAAGTTCTTTTGGTCTCCCTAGCAAGAGGCGTGTTTAGTCCCAATGGTGAGATGAAGGTGACGTGAAGGACAGCTACAGACTTAACATGATGTTAATTATGCTAATATTATCCTCTGTGTGAGTTACATAGTGCACATAGCTGAGCCATGGGGAAAGAGAGTTCATGCTTTGTTCAGTTTCCATCTGAAATGAAACTGAAGGTTGTGACTCCACATAAAATGCTTCAATCCCTTTATTCTTTTGTGCATCCTCTAAGAATCTAAACATGCTCAAGTTTTTATAAAATGATTTTATAGAAATTTTTATAAAGGTTTGATACTGTTTTTCTTAGTCAAAACTGTTTGATGCAAAAATGGCATATTCTTCCAATCCCTGTGAGCATGTACTTTTCGGTATTTTTTATTTTTTCCCCAAAATTGTACCCAGCTCTGAAAAGACATGTCCAATAATAAACCAAGACAAGGTCAGATTGATGGTGAGCAGTTTTAACATTCACTCAAGCATCTGCAGTTCTGATTACCCAGAAGCTCTGCATTCTGAGAATCAGTTTGCTTCCTTTTATTCAATTTGTAGATTGTTTGTGCCCTGGTGGGAAGCTATATTATTACACTTTCTCCTGGGTTGTAAAACAAACAACATGCTGATACACTAAATGCATCTTGAGAAGAGTACTTTGTATATATTTTGGTAAAACAGCAGGAGGACGTAAGTAAACAAGTATTAATTTACCAGTCCCTAGATAAGGCCTATTACAGTGAAAAGAGCCCCTCTCTTCCAGATAATGTAGAAAGTTCAGTCTTCTGGGGAAGAGTTAGGAGATTTTAGAGCCAATTTGCAATCTTTTACTATATAAAGATGATAAAGATACAATTAAGAATATGTCTCTGGTGGCCCTAAAGTGGTGTCTATAAATGAAGAAAGTCTTACAGCTGAGTTTCCCTTGCTGCCACATCTCTGTATCTGTATGTGCGTCTCACAGCTGACTGTCTCCATGCTGCTTCCTGAGAAAATGCATGAGGGACTTTTATGCTGTCAATAAGAAAAACTTGTCATTTTTGGATAGATTAAACCACAGTGCTGTTTTAGGACTGATTGGTGTCACAGATTAGTAAAACCTTTAGAGAGGTACAGAGGCATTTTATTGTTGTATTTTGTTGGCAGGTAGTATGGAAGTGGGTCCTTGCTGGTGGATTACTTAACATTCAAGTTTTCTCTGCCACTTGAGAGAAGAGGGGTGGCTGGCCTGATTTCAGACTGGAACTCAATACCAGTGTTGAAAATAAAATAAGACTAACTGTTTTATCTTTAATCTTGGGCTTCTGTGCAACAGAGTAAACATTTGGACTCAAGCTTCTTGAGGTGTTTCCTCATTCACTTACCTGCAAAGATTTACTGGATATGATTATTTCTCTCGTTCAGAATCACTGATTTTTTTTTTTTTTGTATTTTGTACAGGTAAAGGGGGTAAATATGTTCTTTGTTGGGGGGGAGGGAGAAATGGGTTAATTGGCCCACATGGTGTCTCAAAGGATTTCCTGTACCCCTTTCTTTTGCCAACAAGGTTATTCCTGTTTTTTGCCTGTGTGAAAGGCAAAGAAACTAAAAGCGAAAAAACTTACAGATAGAACTTATGCCAAAAAAACAAAGATGGCCCTACTGTGCCGTAGCCCCTAATTACACTCTTGGGGGTGATGCTTTTTTATCTTCATTTCAGAAATAAGCATCCTGAAGCAATGAAGAGCTTAGTGGTTTATCCATTATCTAGCTGACCTGTAGCTGCCTGTCAGCTCTCAGCAACGCACACACTAAAGTATTTACTGTAACTTTCTTTTTAGAGTGCTTGGAGAGTAAAGGTATTATAGAAATTTATCACTGTTATCCTGGAGTCTGGTCTGAAAGCTAAAAAAATTTTAGTCAGCTGCATAGGAAAGGGTGGAGGAAGGAGAGCTTCTTTATGTGCTTTTTATTTTTTTTCATGAAAAACAAGGTAATAAAATTCTACTATTATTTATAGTCCAAGGGGTCCATGCTAAGGAATCTGTAAACAACTGGGAGAGCCACATGGGAATAGGAGCGTGAAAGATTTATTAAACTGCAAAAGGTCAAAGGAAGGGAGTTTGCTTGTTGCTAGTGCAGCATCAGCCCTTCAGTTTCCTATGTCGAGGGCTAAGTGTATGCCTGGTAACCACCTCCTTGCCCTGCTCCTCAGAGCTGCAGTTTCTGTTGCCTCTTGACATGCCATAGGTTACGCAGAGCTGCATCCTGCAGAAATGCTCTCAAAAGCTGCGTGGGCTGTGTCTGAATTTGGGCCTTAGCCCACATGGGCAGAATTCACCATTCCACACGCCTTTCAGGCAGCAGTTACAGAACTGCCTGTCGTGGCAAAACGAGAGATTGAAATTTGCAAACCAGAGAATTTAAAATGTTTATTTTGTTGAAATCCATAAAAGATGTGACTTCACTAGGACAAACAAGCTATTACTTACTTTATAATTGCATAAATATCAACAGGCATATATTTCTCATGCCTAGTGCCTGTGTCCTGAGCTTCACCCTATAGCTGCTCAGAGCATACCAAAAAAGGCTTATCTGGTCAAAATAGGGTCTGCAGGTATTGAAGAAAAGGCTTTTTCCAAATTGTTCTAGAAACATCCATCCTTCTTTCAAAGCAGTGGTCTTATCAGTTCTCTTGGTATTTCTGATCCCAGGCTAACCCTTCTCTCTAATCCCATGTCCATTAAACTCTCCACTCCTGTTTTCTCTCTAAGGAATTGAACTTTTGTCAATTAATTTCAACATAAGATCAATCACTAGGCACTAGAACTAAGAGAGGTACAAAAGTATATGTGTATTTGTTTCTCACTTAGAAGACTGGAAAATTGCCATTTAACTTTACAGATACTATTTGTTTTGAGGAGCCACGCTGAGCTCTTTAGAAAAATGAGCCTTTTAGAATTTCTAGTGAAAAAACATTTCCTTGTCAGGATGTTCCTCACATGGAGAAGCTATTCCTCCTTGATCTCCAATTAAAATCCTGCCATTAAGAAAACATCTGTATTGACTAATTGCCTTGCAAACACTTGACAGAAGAAATTAAATTTGATACTCTACTAAATATACTAAATGCATATGTAACCAGAGATCCAAGGTGTCTAGGGACAGGCTGTCTTATATTTTTATGGCTAGAAATATTAAAGTTAATGAGTTACACTGTTTAAGGGCAGGGCCCTTTCTATTTCTAGAACTGGAAGCTAAAAGGCTGAATACATGGAGGATTTTACATTCTTTTGCATCAAAATAATTGGACTAGAGTTCTTCCTGAACAGTAAGGAGTCGCTAGTTATTTCAGGTCACTGGTCTCAAATGGCTTACTCAGATCGACCTGCAATACTGACCCATTTGGTGCAGAGCCTGTTTTCCTTAGATCATCAAACAGCAGTTGGTTTTTATCCTGGTAAAGCAAGCTAAAAAAGCAGTGCACAGCAGCAGAGTGGAAATCCTGAGCTGGCTGTTCTGTGTGGCCTTCGGAGAAGGCTACTGAGACAGTGTTTGGGTGACTGCCTTTGGGCAGCATGGGCATGTGAGGGCAATGTGTCATATCCCGTGGAATGAGACTGGTGGAAAAAGGTCTGTCTTGTCCTTGAAGTCTGAGCTTGTTTGCTTCAGCTTTCTGCAAGATGTAGACTGATGGTGACAGTATTGTTTATAACTTAAAGGCTCACTGCGCTGCAGCATGTAAAAGCTTCATTTATTTGCAATAAAGGGAAATAATGAGAAATCCATTAGAGGCAAATGGTCCTAATGGAATTTTTTTATTGACCTTTGCAAACCTAAATATATGGCTTTTTCAGCCTTCTCTGTATTCCTGTTGCTGTTTTTCCCTTCAGATAAGGGCAGGTCATTCACTTGCACTCAAGATTAATGGTTATCAAAGTCATCATGTAGGTAATTGTCTTATAGCCTGGGGACACTTTTTGGTAGAGACCAATCTTCATTATTAGCATATGCAATATTTGTGGGGCAGTTCTATGCAATATTTGTGGGGCAGTTCTTTGGGATCTGATAGTGTTCATCTCTGGGTAAGTTGGTTTTGAACAAGTCATAACATTGCGGCTAGCTAAAAAGAATCGGGGAGAAAAAAAAAAGAACCATCAGAGTGGGGATCTAATGAGTATTTAATTGTGAATTGCATATCCACAAAATAAACTAATTAATTTGCTTTTAGGTAAGACACTTGAAAAGAGGTGAAAAAGCACAATCCAAACAACAAAATACAAAACATAATCATGTTTGCATGCTTAGTGGTGTGTCAAAAACGCTCCTAGAGGTAACCGGTACTCAGTGGTGAGGTTCCATACTAACGATCTCATTCTTGCTGCACTGTGAGAGGCTGAGAAGGTTTTTACAGCCAAGTCTAAAATTCAGCTGTAATTCTAGGCACACAAGAAGTTTTCTGTCCCCTGTACCCTCACCAGTGACAAACACACTGAAGATTTTTTCACTTTCAGTTACAGTTCCAGTATCTTGTGTTGTTACTACCTGGAGCTAATTGTACCTATTGACGAGAAGATGCCCTTTCCATATAGTCACCTGTTAGAGCAAGCAATGTTCATGAGGTGAACACTGTTTACTTTTAGTTCAATCTTTAAATTTTCTGTTTGCAGAAAAAAAATCCTTGGTCCAGGATTTTTGTATCTGTATGCCAAAACTATACCAATCATTCATTCTTCAACTAGATGCAATTTTAACATCTGAAAAAGTATCTAAGACGTTTTAGGTTATCTGTGTCTGCTAGATATTTTACTTTTTATTTCACTTTTAATCACTAATATTAGCTAACTTTCCGTCCATAGGTAGCAGCCCAAGAAGGAAATATGCTGATTAAGGAATATCATTATGAGAAGGCTCTTCGTTATTACACCGTGGCTGTCCTGTCAAGCAAGAATTATCCGAGATATCTCCGACAAAGAGCCATTTGCCTTATGCATCTGAAAAAATACAACAGAGCTTTAAAGGACATGGAGAAAGTGATCGAACAGCATGGCTGTAACAGCCTTAAAACACGTGTTCATGACCACTGCTCAAAAGGACACCTGCTCTTACTAGCATCGGAGGAAGAAGCAACAGTTAAAGAGTATATTGAGGCACTGCAGCTGGAAGAATCTATCACACTAGGCAACATCGCAAAAGGCCCTGGTAGGGAAATTTTAGCCAGAACATTTCATAAGATTGCACAGTATTATTTTGAAATGCGCCGTTATGAGGAGGCCTGGAAAATCACAGGTTATGGTCTCATAGTTGATAAAAACAGCACTGAACTTAAGAAGCTGAAAGCAAGACTTAAGCGAGAGGTTTCAGGCTGTAGTATACATTAATTTGTTTGTTTTTGGTTTTTTGAGTGTCTTATTAGTTATTAGTTTGTCTTCAAGAAAAAGGGAAGGATGAGAAGCTCATGATAAATATGTAGTGCTGGATTACATGTCATTGAATATCGCCCAGCAAGACCAGAAATAAAATGTTCAGATAGAATCATAGAATCATAGAATCGTTAAGGTTGGAAGGGACCTCTAGAGATCATCTAGTCCAACCTCCTGCACACGCAAGGTCACCTAGAGCACGTGGGCTCCACACACAGGGTCACCTAGAGCACGTGAGCTCCACATCCCTCTTATACTGTGGAGCCCAGAACTGGACCCAATACTCCAGATGTGGTCTCAGCAGGGCTGAGTAGAGGGGCAGGATCACCTCCCTCGACCTGCTGGAGACGCTCTT